GTTTTTTCTCTAATTTCATGCTAAGCCTTTGTCTCTAGCTTTTTTTCATGAGGAAAAATGAAGTGTTGTTGCACAGGAACATCATCACAGCCCAATTGCCCCAGGATTCTGTTAGCAAATCCCTATAGCTAGCAATATTTTGATTGCTTGTTGGCTATCAGTCACTGGTAAAATCAGAATTGTGTAGTCTACATCCGTACTGACAGATGTGTTGGAATCACAATATGAAATATTTGCTTCCCAGATCAAAGACACATATTCTGCAGAGCACCATAAAGATTTATTCAGATTTTCTTAACTCAGTTCAGTTTTGTTAACCTTTAAATCATCTCTTTTCAGCAAGCATAAGATTCTTATTTTAAGTAAATAGATTAATGTAATTTCATTAAACTGTACAGTCTTTTAGCTACAGTTCTCTCTATATACATAAGATATTTCACAACAAATCATTTATTAACATTATCAATGACTTACAAGGTCAGACTACTATTTTCTACTATCTAAAGTAGCATCAAGAATCCTCAGCAGATAACTTTCTGTTCTGCATGGATAAAAAGCTGAACTCTGCATGCTTAGCTCTTTTCTAATTTGTTTATACTTATTCATTTTTTATTTTATTATGCTATTAATTTTTAATTTCATAGTAGTTAATAATTGTTACTCCTTTCTTAATTATTTCTCAGGCACATTATTCCCTTGACTCAGAATCCTGAAGTAATTCTCCCTTATTAAAACTTTCTGTATAGCTTCAAAAACAGCTACTCAGCCTTCCTGGGAATCATAACATGTTTATGACATTGTAGGTGTACAGTAATAAAAGCTTTCCCCAAAACACACCTTAAGGTCTGCTAAAAGGAGACAAACACTTTTAAGTCCTACCAACTCTTACCTCTGGGACAGTTTGAGACAGACGAAACTATAAAAGAGGACTCTTTATGGCCTGAATTTACAACTTATGCTTGATTTCTCTTGCACATCCCACGCTACTGACAATACATTTTAATGACACAAGCATACTGCTGCCTGCATAGACCATTTTTTAAACAGCACATGCTAAAGTCAGAGGAGGCTGTGTAGTGTGAAGGTGACCTGAAGTAGCAAAATGCTCTTCTTGGGTTACTCACAGTTGGCCATGCAAGAAACAACAACAAAGAAAGTGTGTGATCTAGATATTGACTCCAAAGAAAAGCAATTTATGCTTTCTGGGGGAAAGAAATATCATATAGACTGACACAATTTTATTTTTTCACTATACTAATAGTTTCAGCATGGACATTGCATAGAAATCTTGCCAGTCCAGCAGCTCTAACGTTGTTACCAAAGAATATGGGTAAGAGACAAAAATGCACCATCACATGCATATACGCCAGTACATTCACCTCGCATGCACAGGTAACAATGCTCATCAAGTCAGCACTTTTGGGCCCTTTCATGCACTTAAATCCCTGGTTAGACTAGACTTACAAAAACAAAAAATGTAACCTCAAATCAGGAAAAAATATTTATTTTGGGAAGCCCTGCAAACCTTTTCAATCTTTTGCTTTACAAAAATCCATTTTATGGATTGTGTGCACACTTATATTTAGACAGCTTTAGTCTGAAACTACCATCAGGTCTTAATTTGTTGCTCAGCCACAATAGCACAAGGGATTCCTATCCTCCTGCTAGGCACTCTCTGTGACATTCACAGTGCCTGTCAAAATGAACTCGATCTTACCCTTCATGTACTACAAATGAATTATTAGAGCAATGCTCTTAGTTACTTGTCTATCTCATTCCCCAGCTGAGGTGACTTTATGGATATGTCTCTTCTGATCCATTCAAGCATCCAGTCAAATAGATTAAACCACAGCTAACCTGGCTTGAATTTGAAATGGAATTCAGGAAGGGAAAGGAGACCCACAGCTTCAGGTGGGAAAAAACAGCACAGCCTCTTTTGGCTGGACTCTCATCTGCTAGTACAAGGGGTTTCTTTTTTCAGTCAGCTACATTAGCCAAGTTTATGCAAGTGGTTCTGATTTCAGCCAGGAAGGGCAAAAGCTAACATCGGCTCTTTCACACTTAGACCAGCAACTACTGCAACTGCAGTGCTAGACTGACTTCAATCTGCAGCTTTTCTCCAATACTTGGTACTGGAGCAGCAGAGAAGAGGGTCTAGCTGGGTAGCCACCAGTCTTCTGGAGGAGCTGCTATATATTAATTTGTCAGAGCTGCTATATATTAATTTGTCAGAGCTGTACAGGAAGAGAGGAACACAGTAGTCTTGACTAGGAAGCACTGGAAGTATGCCTGGCAAGTCCATAAAGTCTCTGGGTCTAAGACAAAGACAGGACTCTAATTCACACATGTTGTGAAGCTAAGCAAAGGTATTTTTCTACTTTGAGACACGTCCACTTTCTTTTTCCTTTTTCTCTTTTTCAATTTTTTGTTTGTTTCAATTTGGTGTTACAGGTTTTGAGGCTTTTTTTCCTTGGCCAATGATATTTACAAAAATACTAAACCAAGCAAAAACATACTTTTGTATAATTCTTCTGACACATCATTCAGTCCTAGTTCTGGCCTCTTGATTATGCCTGCTTTTTGATCCCTTTCTCCGTGGTTACAATATATTCCATTTGCACTTTTTTCATTTATAATCTCTTTAATTTTTTTAGGATTCTGTTGTTAACAACTATTCTTCTCTTCTACCTTAGTTCAATTAGATCTGTCAAATTTGCAACCATATAAAATATTCCATATCAGAGCTACTACATTATTTACTGTTCACCATTTAGGACCACAGAATTTTTGTGCTGAGTGGTCTGTAATAGTTCAAGTCCACTGAAGTCCTCAGGAAAGAAACTCAGATCTCTTATCTTATTATGGATGGAAAAAAAAACAACCTACAAACAGTAGCTAATGTTTATTGACATTTCATATATGCGTATGCATATATTAGTCAGTCTGATGCTCCTTAGTTTTCCTTCCTAATTTGTTTTGAAAGGAGATTATAAGACCCTATAAGAAGAAAATTTTGCATGCTGAACAATTCTTACTGATATGGTGCCAAATAAAACGGCTTTGCTTAGACCTAGATTGGGCTGATGCATTTCTGTCACTCCTTACCACCACAATTTACTGTGATGTATGAGACACAGACTGATGCTGTCCAAGGCTGCTGAATTAACAGAATGAATGTCACCAGAAAAAAGAAATCTTCAGGGTAAGAACCAGTTAAAGAATATGATTCCAACAAAGGCCAGTTAGGGCAGAACTTCTGGTATATGGGGTGTAGTGAACAGCTAAATGAAAGACTAAATTGCATAGGTATCCTTTTTAAGGCCAGGGAGGAGAAGCATAGGGTAATATCCTGGCCTTTCCTGAAGTAAACACCAAAATTCCCATTCACATTTTTAAACCAGGATTTCATCCTGTGACTGAGGTAGAAATCAGTCTTGAAGCTGGGGTAGCAGATGGTTGAGGCAGGATCTGGGACACAGATTTCGGGAGTTTAGATAGGATTCAGAAAATGCTGGCAATTAGGAATGAAACTAATAATTGAACTTGCAGATATAAAACTCCTGAGATACGAAATGTAACCTTAAAATTAAACATCATAACAAATGTCTTTCTAAATTTTTTTTTAGTGCCTCAGGAGAATAAAATTGTCATAAAATTGCATTCATTATGACATCATAGAAAATCTAGTGGCCTGTTAAAAGAACTATTATGAAAATAATGAAGTTCAGAAGTACTTAATATCCCTAGAATAAAAATATTTCTTTGACTTTATCTGAAGTTCATTTCTGTATGCCTAACACACATAAAACAAAATACATTAGTATATGATGGGCTTATAAATCCATTACATAATTTTTTTAATCTGATAAGCATCAACTCTCTATTAATGTGGAAAAAATTCGTCTAAAATGACATTTTGGCAAATGGAAATTGATTAGGAAAATATCTTTCAAAAATAAGTTGAAAACATAACCAAAGAGCTTCATACCACTTAAGAAAATATAATGATATAGCCTTCCTTCTTAAATTTAGAATTATAAAATGTTTTTTTCCTCAAAATAAGGAAGAAAACTGAGTTATGTGTAATTGTTGTTGTGAGAAACTCTTTTATGTATACACCATTTACAGTAACAGCATTGCCTTTAGCACCATTCCTGTGTGACTTATATGGCCATTGGGCAAAATTAAAAAATCTAGATCTGTGAAATAATCTACAGCTTGAAGGGTGGAAAAAAAATTCAACCACACAATAATCTGGCTAATATAAAAATATGAGTTTATTACATTTTTATGAGCTACTAATAGATTTGTTGTTGTTTTTGTTCTGGTTTGAATAAGTGTGTAGAAGTTGCTTTATATTCAGTATCTGGATAAAACTAAATCATTTAATTACCTTCCTAAAGTTTCCTAATCTCTGGTCTTTCCAGTCTTCAAACAGTGTTTGAAACTTGATCGTTTCTCTTATGAGCTGGAACAGTTTGAATGGGGACACAGCGAGAGATTTAGCAGATTCTCCTATTGATAACGTAATGCTCATACTAATACCACTATTTTTCCCCAATTTTTAGTTCAATAAAAATAAAATTAAGCTTAAAATTAAACCAAATATAAAGGAGATATTATACAATGGGGAAGCAAACATTTTCCTTGTGCACAGAAGTATTTCCAAAACATAAGTTTCAAAAACGGGTGATCTCACAGAGGAAATGTAAATTTCCTATTGTTATAATGAATTGTGGGGTTTTTTTAATAAGAAAATATATAAATTTCGGACCATATCAAATTCTTAATTTTTCAGATATTCTCCCCATTTCCAGTAGATACTCCTGTTATAATTGGGTCTGTCTTTATTGCAAGTCACTGTAGAGAATTGAAAACATAAATCTTTTTCTAGTGAACAAATATAATTGACACATTGTACATTCTTCAGGAGTGTGCACTAGATGTTGACAGTAAAAGCATTCTATTTCTCTTGAATATTTCTTCTTTGTTGTAAAAAGGAAAGTTTACGTGTATTGAAGTCCGGTTTCACCTTGAGAGGCAGATGGGTTACTATCTCATCCAGATGTACATCCCGAGCCTCTTGATCGTGATTCTCTCCTGGGTGTCCTTTTGGATCAATATGGATGCAGCTCCAGCCAGAGTGGCTTTAGGCATAACAACTGTACTGACCATGACAACACAAAGCTCAGGTTCACGAGCATCTCTTCCAAAGGTAGGCTACATTTCCTTTGTTTGTACCATGTTAATCATAATGTTATGTGAAAAACACTTTCAGCCAACCTTATGTGTTTTAATTATTAGCATCCAATCATTTTCTAAATCAAACAAATAATTTTGAAATATTTAGGGGATTTTTGATTCTCCAATCAAATATATTCTATTTCTCCTTTGTCTCAACTATATAGCCAGCCACATGTCTAGTTAATTCCATAAACCCTAACAAATAGTGAAAACAATGTTATTCCATGTTGCATAAATCCTGCTTAACAATTGACTGGCTCATCCTTTCTCACATTCCAGTATCTGATTACATGCTAGCGGATATGACTGAAATTCTAAAGGCCATAGATTCTTACCATAGATGCTCAATTATATTCCTTGCTCCAAACTGCCTAAATTATTAATTAGCTCACTAGTTACACATTTACATTAAAATGTAGAAAAACGTAAACCTTAACAGCTCCAAACAATTGCATAAAAATGATTCTCAACACAATGAACACCACTTAAAGTTTATTTCTAGATTAACTAATTCCATTTTCTGAGTTGTAATTGCTTTAAATGTGTTCTGTTTCATTTATTCCTTGACCATCTTCATGTTCCATTGCAGTTAATAGAGATAAAATGTATACAATAAAAATACACAAAGTTCAATTCTGTATTAGTTTTAACATTATATTTTTAGGTTGTCTATTTAACTTTTTTGTTAAGTAAAACAAATAGCCCTTGCAGATTTGAGCATGCTTTGTGTCCCAAATATATGGAACTGGATGCATCCAAAGTTAACATCAACAGATAAAACTGAATGCTCTAAAAACTCAAAAAAAGCAACAATGTAAGAGGTTAACAGAGAGCTGCAGATTATTTTTGTCACATTTTGAGGCCTGAAGTTAGCTATGTTTACTTATATAGAAAAACTCTTGTAACTCTGCAAAGACTACTTTCTTGCTTGAGATCATGTCCTGCATCTGAACTTGGCAATACAGGATTGCAATGAGCTCTAATCTGTATCTGATTTTTAGTTCTTTCACTGTGTTAGATTGACAGGCTTAATTTGAAACTATGCATTCAATTTACTGTGCCTATATTAGCAGAAAGTGAACACATCAGGCCTCTCCACCTATCTCCTTTCTTGTAAATTTTTATTCCACATCCATTTTAATTCAGGAATTCCCACTGGTCCCACTAGAAGCTGCTTTTTGCATCCTCAGTGCCATTCACAGATCTCAGTCAGACAAATGAAGGAAGAGCATGTGTATTTTGAGGTTTATTTGGTTTGTGATGTAATACAAAGTATACTGTAAGGAACTGTTAATGATTTGAACACATTTTGTAAAATAATATGTTTTTTAAACAAAAATTTAACATGGATTGAATTGTTGTTCTTATTGTTGTCTGTCATGCAAAGTTTTGTTCGATAAAAATACTGTTGGGATGTGGAGGTATTAATGCACTTCCTCCTGCCATGAAATACTAAACTTCACATCTGTGCTTTTAGCATACTCAGGCTTCTCCTGTCTCCTCTCATAGGTGTCATACGTCAAAGCCATTGACATCTGGATGGCGGTGTGTCTGCTCTTTGTATTTTCTGCACTTCTGGAGTACGCAGCTGTTAACTTTGTGTCGAGGCAGCATAAAGAGCTTCTGCGGTTCCGGCGCAAGAGGAAGAAGAGCAAGGTAAAAGTAATGGTGTTCACAGCTTTTAAAGGGTCTGACTGAATTATGCCAGGATCCAGGGTTCATTTGGTAAACATACTGCAGCTTGAAGTGGCAACAGAAATAAAATGGCAGCACAGCATAAAATTCACTATGGGCAGAGGGTCACTACAAGGACTATGAATTGCATAAATCCAACTTAAATTCTCGAAAGAGGGATTAAGAGGGATTTAAATGAGGCATGGGCCATGTGGGAGCCATCTGCACAAGCATGAATTTCACTCTGTTGGAAGAGTTAGATTATACTTCAGTGAATGAATGTTACTAGTATTTGAGGCAGTTTTTACTACACTGATATCCAACAAATGTTGTTTCCTAATTTCATTCTAATACTCAATTCAAAGCCTTAACAGCTGTGTTTCATGCAAATATTTTTGCAATACTCAAAGTACTTATTCAAATAACATTATTGGTAAAAGAACAAACATTTTGCTTTAAAAGGCTGGTAAGTTTGGGGTTTTTTCTTCCATCCTGTAATTTTGTTTTAGTTGTTCATATTATTAGCAAGAAACTTAATTATAGTAATGGTTATAAGAGCTGGAGCTATACAGACTTCCAGTAAAATAACTCACTACCCTTGTGCGAAGCCAAACAGCTAAGGCTACAAGTTTGAATTCTGAAATCTGTAGTTAAATCAAGCAATAAAGAAAATCTCTTATAACGTGTAACTCCTACTTCAGATATTACAAAGTGTAAATAGTTCTCCAGCCTGCTTATTAAATGAGTACCCCTCCAACAATATCATGCAGAGCCTGTGGATCTGTGGATTACTAGTGGATGAAAGTTTGACCAAAGCAACACAATTCAGTTCAGCCATATTTCATTCCTGAAGACTTAGTCTACCACCTACATCACCAGAAGACATTTTACAAGTTTCCCTCTTAGAAGATACTGAAAATCTGCACTGCTGTAAAGCCTACCTAAGCAGTCCCTATTAGTAAGACTCCCTGTTTAAAGGCAGGCCAGACAGTCAGGTGAAAATGACGCTTTCATACATTTGCCTTTCCCCATGTGTTGAGTCCCAGACTTCTTCAGTGGCACAGAGAAACTCAAACTGTAGACAAGAGGATGATTCAGACTGCAAGTACCTGCATTCAACGTTTGACCCTGTGAAAAATGTGCTTCTTTCTTCCTGCTGACAGTAGCAGAAAAAACTGCAGTATTGTAACTTGGAATATGGCAGCTCTCTGAAAGCTGTCCTAAGGTTTGGAATGGGAAGAATGGGGTGGGGCAGATGTGAATTACTGTACAGGGGTAGGTAAGTCACAACAAGTGAATTGTGTATCAAGCAGCTGTGGTAAGTGATATATTGTGTCACTATACTTTTAATCCATTTAGCTTTCTCACCATGTATTGTTGTTCTGGATCACAAGCAAATTTACCACATTCAACTTAAGTGATATCTTTCTTAAATGCAGGTCAGTTATAATGACCACAGGATTAGGAACTGGCATATAGTACCTTTCTTCCTCAGAATCAAACCAAATCTCTTTTCAGCTCCCTCTTAGCAAGACTTCAAATTCACCAAAGACATTCATTCAGCAATCACAATCAATTCAATTTCAGCTTAGAGGTATGTGAGAGAGGAACCACTATATAAATGGACTTCTAAGAGAAGACCTTTTAAAGAAAAAAGGTTTGTGCATTAATAACTGCATTTACTTAAGTGTTTTTGTGGATCATGGTATTTTTGAATTCACATTTAAAAGTCCTTATTCTAATTTTATTCTTCATTAGACAGTCTTTAGCTTCAGGTAGATTGCCTGCTAAATTCTCATAAAATTACAGGATTAGAATTAGAGCCTTTAGAGTGTACAATAAAGTACCAAGTACTTCACTTTGATTCTGAAGGATGGAGACATGCATTTCAATGCTTTTCTTCGTAACGTGCTTCAGATGTTGGTATTAAATATATTTGAAGGTATAGGGCTTTCCCTTCCCCCTGTACCTATATGTTTCATCATGAGACAAGATTCTCATCTAAATTTAGCACAAAATGCTTTGTCCCTATACAAGATTATGATTTTAGAAAAATAGTAATTTTTCAGAAAATATTAATTTAATGAAATGTTTCTTAACTCACTCCAATTTCATGTAGACCTAGAGCTACTGGACAGATTTAACCTCTGAGAAGGCATCTTCTCAAGCTCTAGAGACAACTCAACTAATTGCTTCTTTCTTTCTCGATGTTCTATGAAACCTTTCCTTGCCCAACAAGTATACAGGAAAGAGCATGGAGATTTTATCTCTCAAAAAGAAATTTGGATCACTTCTTAAACCCTCTGGTATACGAATAATAAATGAAGTCTTACAGATTAAAAATTGCAGCTAATAACTTCCTTACCACAAATTTTATTATTTATTCACCACAACTTAAAACATGAAATGCAGGCCCTAGGATCATAACTCAAAGTAACCTGATTTTCCTTCTTCTTTTGTGTTTTTTAAAGTCAGTTACTGTAGCTCATGATTATAAATTTTGTATGTTTGTTATTTCTTTGGACTAGGTCAAGCAGCCACTGGCTCTCAAGGATTAGATTGTACTGACTTTGAAAACTACCGTATATTAAAAAATGTTCATTTGACCATAAAGTCAAGAGGTGAAAAGAAGTTACGTAAAAAGGCTACATTTTAAATAAACTTCAGAGGCTTCCTTGAACATTAAATCTTCCTTGGCAAAGAGAAAAACAATATTCTATTCAGTATTTACATCCAAAACTATTAAAGAAATAAAGCAGCTAGGATAATTTATTAGAATTTTTCCTTCTGTATGCTTACCATCTTGGAACATTTTACTTTGATTGGGTTTTTCTCTAGGTGAATTCTAATTGTTGAATACAGATTTTTTTGCAACTGGCATTAGGGTACAGCAAATCCTCTAGTGACTTGACATGTTGCAAAAGTGCAAAAATATATCAGTTTGGAAATGTTTCATTTCAAATATGTGTAGGGAAGCTGAAGAATTTCCAAAGTCTGTTTTGTTTGTAATTAAAAATATATGCTTGTTGCAAGAAATATTTATTTTTACCAAGTAACCAAAGAAATAGTCCTATGATTGGATTTCAGTGTCTTTGGGAGGTAAGTGAATCCATTTTCCTGACTTAAGATCATTCATTCCTAATTTATTCCAGCCAAAAAAAAAAAAAAATAAATAAATCAACAAGCTCCCCTGAAATCTATTCCAATTGTTTAAAAAAGGTTTTTTTTACTAATGCATTTTTTGGCCTGTCATGGCTTGTCTAGAAAGGACAGAGAAACCAGACTACTTCATTCCTTCATGCCACCATTTGCATATTTCTATTCAGTCTTTTCTATAAACATTCCCAGTAGATACAGTTTTTGGTTTTGGTTTGCTTTGGGTTTTGGTGTTTTTGTTTTGGTTTTTTTTTTCTCATCCACCTTCCCTGGAAATTCTCCTAATAAGTCCATATAATTCCTCAAAACTATGTTTGCAACACGAACAACATGAAACCTATACAGTTGAAAGCAGCTAAATGATCAAGTGATGCAATTAATACAGTTGTTTATCCCAACCAATTTACCATTTGCCTTTTAAACAACATCATTTTATTGACCCATATCACAACAGTGATCTTCCATATCTTCTGTGTCTTTTTCCAGAGAAACACCCTGCAGAGACATTGGCTTTCCATCTAATGCAAAGCTGATTATTTCTGGCTAAATGTCATACTTATTGATTCTTCTGTATTTTTCAGATGCTTTGTTCGAATCATTGAATTAAATTTTATTTCTAAACAAATCCTCAAAAAAATTTTCAGGTTTCACAGTTTGGATTTTTTAAATTAATTAAAACTATGGGTATGTCCTTCTGAAAACACAGAGAAACTGGAATCTCTCTCTTAAGAAGCACATTTGAACTCAGATAAGACCCCTGCAGTAAATTCCATAGTTATACAAGTTACAGTTATGTACAGAACTGCAACAAGACATTTTGACATCCAGAGTTCTATCCTTTCCATTTTCCTTATGCTTTTCCACTTACAGTCACTGCCTTTTTTTCACACCATCTGGTTAATTTGTGGCCTCCTTTCCCAGACAACAATAGCAGCAGCATCAAAGGCAATTCTTAGGTACAACTGCACCCTCTGGCCACCATTTTTATGACTGTAAGTATGGACTTCACTCAGTGATTCCAAATTACTTAGAGGCAAATTTCTTTTCAGAGGCCCTATCCAGTTTGTACAGAACTAGCAAAAATTCTGTAGTGTCTGGGATTGTGTTATTAATTCATTTATAAATGAAAGCTGTTGTTGCAACATAATGTGCAACCTACTCAATGGTGTTTTCCAATAAGCATCACAGTAGATATAGGAGATTTTTTAAAAAGGGTATAATGTCTTTATTATTACACACATGGCATAATGAATCCTGAGAACAGAGGAATTTTGGCTCCTGGTTTGAGATCTCATTTGATGCTTAGTGTATGAGCTACAGTTCTTTGACAAAAAAGAAACCTGGCCAGAAAAAAAACTATTCAGAAATATTATGATGCCATTCCCCCAGAATGAATGCTAATTATTCATTTCCTTCCTAAAAGACAAAAGGAAAAAAATGGCAGAAATCATACAGGGATACTGAAACACACCTTGATCATTGTTTTTTCTTAGTTGCATTTACATTCTATGGGAAAAATATTAACTCTGTACATATACTGAACAATAACAATTTGATTTTAGGTTAGTTGTTAATGTATTTAGGTTTTGGGAATATTCAGTCTATTAGTTCTATTTTCCAAATCTAAAGATCGCCCTATCTTTAGAGAGGAAAATAGACATGCACACTAGATTGTCTTTAATGGTAATCACGCCTTTTTTCTTTTGTTTTCTTTTTGGTCAACCATCCGTTTTGATGAAAGTATTTTGAGGGAGTTCTTGATGGAAATGAAATCAGTGAATCATTACAGCATAGCAATGGCTTGAGATGTGCAGGACGTATAGACGGGACTTTGCCTCAAGTCTACAGTACAAATTTAAGGGTAAACTATGAAGAAGATGTCCCATTTGTCATAATGTGATATCCAACCATTAACAGAGGCCCTGTCCCTTTGTCTACAACATCTTCCCATGTGAACTTCATACACCTTCATTGCTACCTGTATGTGATGACGTGAAATGTTAGTAAAGGTACTGTCTTGTTAATTTCATAATCCATTTTGGTCTGTTTAAATCTGGATTAGAACATTAGAACATTAGAACATTAGAACATTAATACTAAAATTTTACACTGCTTGTAGTGGAAAACAATCAATACCACTTCCCTTCTCAAAACTGAGCAGTAAAAAAGATAGTGTTCAAATTACCAAAGTCAAGGCTTCAGATAAATATTCAAGTCATTATGACACCTTACAATCAAATGACTAGAGTTATTTTCAGCCTTTATATACATTTTATTTCTCAAAATAAATGTATGAATAAGCACACCAACAGAAAACACCATAGTCACAAGATCACAAAACTCAGTTTTCTATTCATTTCCAGCTAAGTATTTTGTAGAACAACACTGATACAGAAGTAAGTGAATTGAAATTATTTCCTTTAGACCACAAAAGAATTCTAACTTTCCAAATAAAACTTCTTATCTAAGTTTTTTCCATTCCTTAATTACAGTAATTTTAATAGAAATTATAAAATATTTAAATGTAACTGCATGCAGAACAACTTTCAAGTTGTTAATTCTAAAGCTGAATGGGTAAAAAATGCATTTAAATCAAACTCTTACTAAAGTTCATTCATAAAAAGATTTTCAAAGTTTTATCAAAAATCTATAGCAAATAGTTTTCTTTTCTTTAGTGATGATACACTAAAAAGGACACAAAAGAAACAAAAGCTTCATTATCACTTAAAAGAATAATTCTATTAGTTCAGCCAATATGCAGGACTTTTTCAGGGAGATTCACTGTAAAGGCTCTCAACTGAGTGATACAAGGTATTGTCCTTCAGATGCTTTCTGCATTTGTAGACTCAGACACATGTATTCTGAGACATATTTCTGATCAAAAAGAGGGACTTCAGACAAGTCAATCAATAGAAAAAAAAGAAAAGGGATATCACTGACATAAATACCTTCAAAAAAGCACTCAGAGCTAGCACAGATAATAACAGTAACCATCTTTCCTGCTGTGCACAAGCACCCTCAGATATGAATCTGAGGCCAACCTAGTGATTTTTCTGCTTTGTGAATCTGCTGGAAAACTTGCAGAACCACGGTTTGAAAATTCAAGTTGCTGCTCCTGAAAAGAATTCTGGCAGTTCTTGGTATGCTGCAGAAGGTGTCCTTTCCTGCATATCCACCAGCCCTGGCACTTGGGAGTCACTTGGCTGGATCCACCATCCTGCCTACCCTTGTGGAGACACCATCCAACAGACACTGGGCAGAAATGCTGGGCTCCTGCAAGGAGCTTAGCATCAGTTCAACAACAGAGAGCATTTCCAAGCAGTCTGCTTGCAGGTGAAATACAGGAGGTCTGCAAGTGCAAAAATAAGGAGAGACCTGACCTTTAAAACCTTCTAGGGGTATCATTCCACTCAGGTAAACCTAAAACAGTGACAAGAAAGTCTTAGTATATACTGTGTGATCCTGAAAACATACAGAACTGAAATCTGCTACTCCAAAGAATCCTTTTATTATCTTTCTCTGCCTGTGCAGTCATCAGCATTATTTTCTGGAGGAGCATAAAAAGACAAAATCCTGAAATGTACATATGAAGATGTTTAAATAGCAAGCTAATAGTAAATTCTCACAGTACATGCATTTCTAACTTAATATTTCTATTATATGGTGCATGACTACAGCTATTCTAGAATGCAACTACATTAAAGATGTTATTTCCCATTCTTGTCTGACAGGAGAGGAACACTATTGCAGTAATTAAATTTCTGTTTTATCACGTCATCAAATAATGATCCTATCATTTTGTATTTCTGTTTTTCATTTCCATAGTAAAGTCAGTCAGTGATTTTTCCTCCTCCTATTCTTTTATGTTAATTTTTCTTTATTTTTATTTCTAAAAGGGAAATTCTAATACAGATTTTATATATAGTAGTTTCAGTGAACTTTATCAGTCTCTATGTTTACTCAATTTACATATATGAAGATGTGTTTCACTTGGGTGACATCTACAGCTCTGCTGGATGGTCATGCTGATGGCCAAATAGTTCACTACAAATTAGGAAATTCATCTGCATTCTTTTGTAGCTAACATAGTCAACTTATATTGATAATAAAACCCGTGGTTTTTTTTTAAAACAAAGTAATTAGCAATTATGTGACAGAAGCTTTAAATATTTTTCAAAGAATTAATTCTTCATTGAAAAGTGTTTTCAGATTTTCTAAACGTTACAGACATTTTCAAAATTAAAAATTTTGAACTTTGGATTTAAGTTGTGCTCATTGAGAAATTGTATTTGTATAAAATAAAACAAAAAATGCTTCTAGCTACTGAATTGAAACTGTAATTACTTTGAAACTTGCTTTGGCAAATAAATATTTTTTAGACTTTTATTTTAATTTAAGCTAAGAAGAGCTTTAAAATATCAAAACTTCTCCTACAAAAGAAATATTGGCAGCTGCTCAACTATTTTGTAATACTTATGAAAATCACTTCTCAAAATACTTAGTTAAGAATTAATGTAATAAATTCTATATTACATAAAAATGTAAAATCCTAAAGCAACTAGACTAAATTAGACATGAAAAATTGACATTCCTGAATTAAAATTAGTATTGAGAAAATGGTGAATGCCATCAAAGTCGCATAATTATTTTTGAGTAATCTATGTAAAGAAGGAGTACACTGGAATATATTTCAGAACTAAATTTAGCCCTGACTTCACTGATTATGTATCATTTATTTGTCTGCATATGTGCCTTTTTTATTACTTAAGGATACCTAGTTAAAATAAAATGGATGTCTCCAGTCACAAACTACATTTTTAAATTGTATGCTATGAAAATATGTGTATCTTCAGAACATCTACTGTTTCCGTGCCATGTGATTAAGAATCGCTTTCTTTTATAGTTCCCTAGTCCTGAATGTCTTTGCCAGTTTTCCCCTGAACTGACAGAAGAGTGAGTCAGAAACAAAATCTGGCCTTTAGCTTCCATTTCCTTTATTTTAAACTAAGACACTTTGCTTGCTGTTCTCTTTATCTGACGCATTCACAGGGAACAGCAGAAATTAGGCATACAGTTCAGATTAATTAAATATACAGAAGCCAAATAGGCAGAATTCTCACTAAGATAATGAATGTGCATATCATTAGTGATTTTATGAAGAGTATCTCTAGAGGCCAAGATCCTGGGTTGTAAGGCAATGTACAGACTTAATAGCTGTTTTCTAAAAGACCAGTGTGAAATTTGTCCGTTTGAAGACTGCACATATTTACTGTGAATGAGGAAACTTAAACCAAAGCAGAAGTTCTTTTCCCTATTACCACTAGTTTAGTAGGCTTTCTCATTTCTCTAAATAGATTACAGAATCTATAAACAAATAGAAAAATTCTGTTCTTGTTAGCAATCCAGCAATATTTTTGGCAGATTCTGATAGGGATGAAATTTCAACAAGTTAAGGTGTGGATTCAAGAAGTCAATGAGGTAATGGTGCAACTGCTATTTAGCAGCAGGTAAGATTTCTGTCAATAATAATTTAAAAAAAAAACAAACAAATGTCTTTCTCTTTTTCTTTCTTTTTTTTTTTCCAGCAGGATGATGATACACGTGATAGTCAGTTTAGCATTACAGCATACGGAGTGGGCCCATGTGTGCAAGCAAAAGACGGAATAACACAAAAGGGGCCAAATAATCCTGTTCAAGCTGTACCAAAAAGCCCTGATGAGATGAGAAAGGTGTTCATTGACCGGGCCAAGAAGATAGACACAATATCCAGAGCTTGTTTCCCGTTAGCCTTTCTGATTTTCAACATTTTTTACTGGGTAATCTACAAAATCATCAGGCATGAGGACATTCACCAATAACAAGATTTAGGCTTGCAGTACATAAAGATCTGGCTGTCACCCTCAACAGGAGGTTTTTCGTTAGAAATGCACATCAGAAAAGTGATTGGAAGAGTTGAAAGCAATGATGGGGAGAAAGAGGATCCTGCACGGCCTAAAATGACCAGCTACACTGGGATGAAAGAATGACACCCAGAGAAGATACATCTGCTATTGCAAACTCTCCTTGTCAGACTAAATATTTACAACTTTTTCATTGAAAATCACTCTCTACTGAAGCTTTACTGCCAAGTATTTATACATACTGTTACATAGTGGTATAACTGTACAGTATTCTTTGATGGTCCTTATTTTTTTTTAATTCTGGTGTATTTTTAATTTTAAAAATGTTTCCAGAATAATCTAGGTGAATCCCACAGTGTTACAGAATAGATTAGTGTTTGTAAGTTTTATTTTAATTTTACAATATAATGACAAATTACTGATTGGAGGAAACAGTTTAAAGGACTTGATCTATTCTTAAGGACAGTACTGGTGGTTTTATAATTTAACATACGTAACGTATTTAAGTCATGTAATTTATTCAATGTACCTCATATTACTGTTCCCCTGGAAGGTGTATGTTGAAATAATCTCGGACAGCACAAGGTATACAGTCTAACAGTCTACATCTCATATGAGAAATATACTAAAATTTGTAAAGTATTGATTCCTGGAAGGATTTGTTCCTTTTAATTACTTACACTTTCATAATTGAAGCATATTCTTTAATCTTTTTTATATTTTTAAGTGGTTTTTTTTCTCAATTCATAAAACTCATACAGCTTGTGAAATACATAAATTACATCAAAATTTTGCAATGCTTCATTTTGATTCATTGCAGAGATCTTGGACCAAAACTAAAAGCAAAGAGTCAACTGCTTCACAGAAGCATTTGGAGGATGAATACAGTTATGTTTATGCACATTCATCTCCTATATATTACATAATGACAGGAAGTTTAATTTATGAATGTGTCAAATTTTCTGACTCATTCTTTGAAGTTTGTTAATATGTCTTAGATACTGGTTAAGAAGCTCTTCACAACTTTGGAAAACCTTGCAGCTCTTCTAAAATATAAAAAAAGACCTGGATGGTCTTTTACATTAACTGGATTTCACATTAATAAATAGGAGAACAACCATTAAAATGTCTAGAAAAATCTTCCCTGTCAAGGTTTAAATAAGCCATATTAGTTGCTTCTTTTAATTGTAACACCATACATCACATTTATGGCACCGTGTCTAGGCAAGAGTATTTACTTCTGTCAATCCATTGGCAAAGCAAAAACATGCTATGATGTGGAATATAACATTTAGAATTATTAGATACTCTAAGTCCAGTAGGTGAGGCTGATTCTCATTACAAAATATTTTTATTTTGAGTACATTTAAAATCTGTGCTTTGTTGATGACCAGAATATGTGTACAAAAACAGAATTGGCTGGAGGCAAACATCTGGTGCACTGCCAAAGGCACCCTGCATATGAAGTAACAGAAGCAATGTAACTCTGCGGTGGGGATTGTAACATAGCAACCTTGGGTTTTGTTTGTTATTCTTTTCCTCCCAGGATTAGTTAAAGAGATTCTATAATAGCAGCTCTTACATTTTCTTAAATTGTGTCAGGAAAAACATGTATAACCCACCTTTATTTCAAAACTATTATTCTTTAATAGTTTTGCTTCATTTATAATCTAAAATTAATCCAATTCACTTTTTTTGATTTTTTTTTTTTCTGATCTTGTGTCTGCTTCTTTTATCTTTTTTATTTCTTTATGTGCATGTTCCAAAAAAATCTCATTCACTTTTGAAGGTGTGAGGGCATATCACAAATTTATGGCTGACATTCATCTCTCTCAAATTAGGGTTAATTTTATTGTATGAAAAAGTTATGTTAACATGTTTCTGTTATCAGCAAAATCAACTGGGTTTTGTTTAAGGGCTGTTTTCAAATGCACAAAACATTTGGCAGCTGATTCTATTTTGATACGATGGAACCAAGGTCTCTCTGGAGCTGATGGTTTTGTAGACTTTTTTTAAGGGAACCATAACATTTAGCAAGGTAACAGAAGCCTCTGTAGTCGACTAACTGTGTGTTTTTCAAAAGGAAATAATTACTTTAAATTTAAGTTTAATTTAGATTATTCCTAAATTACTTTGTAAAAAGTCACATGGTAGAGAAAGAGAGAAATGTCATTTAAGATGGTAAGAAACTTCAAGGCACAAATGCCTGCTATTCACCACTGACGAGGGAAATAGTCCAAAACTGCCAGCAGACATGCCAGCCCTCTGTGCAAAGCTGGAATCAACAGCCACTGACATCAGCTAAGATTACTGTAAGAGATGATTTTTTTTTTTTTGCAACTGTATAATGAAGCAGCAGGAAATTATGTTGAGTTGCAAGAATTGAAAGGTACCCTGCAGTATTTACCAGACTTCACTGTTTATGTTGTACTCCCATCAAAGAGGCAGTGGAAATGCAGGAAAAAAAATCATCAAGGAAATAATGCTTGAGGCAAATGGTATCTAGCAGGGTTCCTCCTACATATAAAAAAAGCCCCATCCATTAGCAGAAGTAATAGCTACCTCACTTCATTTTCACTGAAGCTGGCCTCTGCAGAGAGCAAGTCCTTGGCAAAGCCACACAAGAAGGCTTCTCATAAGCACAATGCCTGTGTGACAGGATAATGCAGCTTTGTCCCAAGTCATCACTCAACACAGACCCTGTACTGATCTCATGTGATTTCTGTGGACCAGCCCTATACTTCAAAAATTAAATACTGGCACTTAGAAGAACATTGTAACACAATGAGAACAGAGGGAGGCACTGTAGGATCTGGAGGAATACCGCAGTAACAGAGCTACTGAGGAGCTGACACAGTCACCATAAAGGGGAAAAAAGGGATTAGGCACCCTTAGTATTTTTTCCAACCCTACCCTGTCTCCTTAGGTACACTTGCTCAGGTGGAAGCAGTAACTACAAGAGGAAACAATTTATATCATCTGCTGCAAAATTTATATTGTTTTGTGACAGTAGTTTCTACCTATGCAGATTGACTTCCACACCATCCTTTCATGGTGGAAAGAGAAGTGGAACAGGAGGAAGGTACGGGAGGAAAAGTCTGGGCTGTGCACAGCAGAGCAGGGGCCACAGGGAGAGAGAAAGCCCAAAGCAGAGCCTGGAACCTCTTACATGAGTGAATGGCTGAATCCATGTCACCCCTCATAAGGCAAAAAACTTCAGTACCTTGAGAGAGGAGAAGAAAAGCCCCTTAGAGGTGCAGTAGAAATGCTCAGCTATTACTGTACCAAACTCCAAATTAATTTCCAAACAGCTAAATGCATTTTATTTTTAAAACTAGATCCAAATACCAACACAATAAGCTTGCATAGTTAGAGGGATGGCTTCTTTCTCTATAATGCTGCAAAACAATGTGAAGATGAAAGGGAATAAGGAACATTAGTATTTTATTACTTAGAATTCATCTATTTTAACAACAAAATAAAGTAGATTTTACTTTCAAAGACTTTTTACAGCAAGTAGTATTATTTAAAAAGGTTATTATAATTCAGAAAGAACAGAGAATTTACTTAAGATTTAATTATTTTTCATCTCAATCATACATTAGTTTTCTTTGGATTCCTTTTCTTATAGTTCATTCCAAAATCTGCTTTATAAAGATTCATTTGTGATGTATGAGAGATTATTCTGTTTACTCACTAGACAGAAATATTTAGGTGATTAAATTTGCACTTTACATTTAAGGAGTGAGGTATTGCTTCCACTGTGTATAATCCCTTACAGAACTGTAGACTGATAATGTAGATAAACATAGAATATAATACAAAAGATAGAATGTGTACTTATATTTTTTAACAGTAGGGAAAGATAAAAAGTCTTCCTTAACCTTAGAAAAGTAAAAGTATTATTTTCAGCAATAATTTTATAGTAGAAGGAAATGAATCTATACAATTCCCAGCCCAAGCTGACATGATTGGTTGCAAGATACACTTTTTGTGCAACTTCTGCTCTCTGAACTATCATAGAAATTAATCTAATCCAACAGAATAGAGTTTGGCTTTAAAATGTGAAACTGCTGAATGAGCTAGAAATACATACAGTACCCCTGTGAGGTAGTAAAATAACTTTCCACATCTTACTGCACAATCATGTGGTTATTTAGGTGAGTACAATACCAGATTTCACAGCTTTTTTCCTTTTTGAGACAACTAAGAAGAAAAACATATATCTCAAACCAGACTACTTGTTAGTAATAAAATGGGTGTTCTGTTTTGGAGTGGTTACAGAAAAGGTGTCTTCAGGCAACAATAACCTACAGTAATTACTGAAGTACTATCAGTTTGGAAGGCTTGTGGAAGCAGGTTAGATTGCTAGAAGCAGTGGATTATTGCCAGAAAAAGTGTTGGCTCATCCAGTCTTCTTGACATTCTCAAATATTACTGAACTTCTTCACTTTCATCTTTGTGAAATATGCAAGAAACATTTCTTACATTTGTATTTTAATGTACATCAGAGTGATATTAACAGATGAAATGGACTAAAGTAGCTACTGATGTTCCATGAATGTGGAATTGTGAGCTGTATAAATGAAATTGTGCCATAAGCTTTTGACATAAAGGTTTAACATAATATATGGTATTTTGTGTGTTAGTGATCCTGGCTTTTTTAAGGCTACAGAGAGAAAAAATAAAACTTGATATGATAGTGTATTAATAACTTGTCTGTGAGTTTTCAAAATATTCTCCTGTGAGTTCTCTCTGACAGCAATTTCATCTCAAAGTACTTCCTTTTTTGGCAAAAAATCTATAAATGTGTTGTGCATGGATTTGATTAGATTCCTTTTTATTGTATTACAGTATCATATTGCACTTAAACTGACATTCTCTGCAGTCAGAAGTGTTAAAAATGTGAAATTTATGGTGTCACCCATGTCATTGTAGATATTTTGTTCAAAAAAAAT